GAGAATGAGCCAGAATTTAGCTGATCAGGGCTCTGAGTATGTGGGGACAACACACCATGTGAAACAGGGGTGTCAGGATTTACCAAATTCTTTAAGCTTCCATTCCTTCTTGAACTATAAGCAATGTTTTCATGGGACTAGGCAAGGGGATCTTCTAAATTCCAGAATGAAGAAAAGCGAAGGTGGCCTCCAGCACCCTCTCTACCTGCCTTGGATTCCCCAAATATTTCATGAAGTTAAAGAACCTCCTGGGGGATGGAAGTGTTTGTTTCTTGATCCAGGTGCTGGTTGCAACATACTGAGCTGTGCACTTCTGATGTGTGCACTTTCTGTGTGTGTTTGATTCCTCCAATGAAAAGGTCTTAGACTTACCATGAATCTCTCCAAGCCATTACACCTGTGCTTACTTAATCCTTTAAGTAGCTTCCTTAATGGGGTCCCTTGGTGACTCAGTCGGCCAATCGGCCAACTCTTGATTTAGGCTCAGGTCAGGATCTCAGGGTCCTGGGATGGAGCAGGAGTCTGACTCTGATCTCGGTCCACAACCTATTCGAGGATTCTCTCTCTCTTTCCCTCTGGCTCTCCCCCAGCTCTTCCCCCACCATCAAATAAATATCTTTTTTTTTTAAATAGCTGCCTGAATGGTCCTTTGTGTGGTTGTAGCATAATTAACTATTCCGGTATTGGTGGCCATTCACCATGTTTCCCGTATTTGCTGTCGCAAATCTACACGGCAGGATTGCAAATCGGCTCAAATGATGTCATCACACGCCACAGACCTCTTTCCCTGACTTCAGGTAGGAACCCAGACAGAGTACTTTCAGCAGCTATCCGAGCATTCTGCAAAATGAACCCTAGCAGGAGATTGGGGAAGGAAACCAGACCAAGAATAAGAGCAACACAGCTGTGAGTTTTCTTGTCATGTTTCCTTCTCTAACCTCCTGCCTGAGCATGAACCCTGCGGCTCAAAGCCTGAAAGTGCACATTCAGCAGGAACCCTAAGAGCTCAGGATGAGCAGAGAAAATAAGCCCTAGGGAAGAGGGGTCATATTCCAGGAGTTTTCTTGGGGTTTATGTTTTCTTTCCCTCCCACCAGGTCCCCAGCAAGCCTGAGGACAGAAGCTGCAATCCCACCTGCAGCCGCTGGGGGCCGATAGCTGGAACGCGGTAGGAGGAGCGTCCTGGGTGCCCAGAACAGCTAGGGGTCCCAGAACCTTGGGGGAGGGAGCGGGGAGGGAGACTACCACTACCTCTTCTCTCTCTTTGGCCTCCCTCTGCTTGGCCCTAGAAGCAACCCTAATCTCAGGAAGTGTGCAGCAGACTGAGGAGAGAAAAGCCTCAGCTCGCCACACTTCCCAGCCAAACGACCAGGAAGGGGAGGGTGGAGCTTCTGAAAGCTGGGAGGGGGTGTGGAGAGGATGGAGAAGAGGAAGCCCCTGAAAAAAGGGACCCTAGACGTCCAAAGCCCGCGCCCCAGCTGTGCACACCTCAACAGTCCCTGGAAGGAATACCCACCTCAAGAGCTTGAGGAAGACCCTCCCCCGGCCCAAGACTGGCCACTGGAGGGCGCACGTGAGGCACATCCGGGGAGCACCTGCAGGGCTCCAGAAAGCTGAACCAGAGCACATAGGAACCACAGTCCACAGAAGCCACATCAGCGCTTGAAGTCCTAACCTCACCAGCTGGACTACCTGCCATTAAAGAAACGGAAGTCTTCGTTAAAGACCATTCCGGCGAGGCGCTAGCATTGCTTGGTATGTGTGCGGTGGTTTCCTGAAATGATGTGTGTGTGTGAAACACGTAGAACTGAACACCACCCCAAAACTCTACCATATGTAAAGTTTGAGAAGTAGCAAAAACAAGAAGAAAAACGTTTCAGACTGTGAACGATAAGCGGTTGCGGTTTATTCTACCAAATTACACCTCACTAAAACTTGAGAAAGACAGGGTGGGAGGGAAAAGTTTGAGGGGAGACCAGAATTCCTGCCCCCACCCCTTCATAAATTATTTGTCTCAGACAGAAACCCCAGGTTTCGCTGAGACCCCTAATGGCAGGAAAAGGCTCAGCCTTCGCAAGTGAACACAGAGGTCTAGGGCCTGTCGACGCACCCCCACCCCCACCCCAGAATATGCGCGACTTTGGCATGAAGAGAAAATTTTGCCCCTCCTTTAACTGCATTGAGGAATCTCAATGGCAGAGTCTTTGCAGAATAATAGTGACTTCCAGGGATTAATTTAATCTGAGTAACCCAACTAAATGGCGGGGCAAATATTTGTTTAACAAACATTTACTTGTTTTCTTCTTCCTGTGAATTGTTTTCCTCTTTGGAGTCCCAAGCCCCTTCCCTTTTCTCTTAACTCTAGATGACATATGTACCCCCATTATGCCTGACTACCATGTTTGTGTGGATTCCCCACACTTATGCTATTAATTTTGATTTTCTCCTGTTGATCTGTCTCATGACGATTTGATTCTAGATCCAGCTAGAAGGACTTTGAATGCGACAGGAACTCAGACTACCCAAGAATGCGATGGGACATTTTTGCTCCCTGACACTTGGTGTAGTCAGCAGAATACTTTAACTAGCAGGACACCACTCACCCCCCGACACTAGTGCAGCTGGGACATTCTTGGGACATCTGGCAGAGAGACAGCAGAAGGTAAGTTTTCTCGCCATGTCAGACTCCTGGAATCTCTATCTGCATAGGCTGGCAGAATGAGAGAAATCAGGGTCCTTTGTCTCCCTCTCAGTTTAGATCAGCAAGTCGTGGAACTAGTTCCTTGGGCTTAGTGACACTTTGTTTCAATTTGGTTGAGTACTCTTTGGTTACCGAAGCATTTCATTCCAGACATAGTCTCAGTTTTCCTTGGTCTATGTCATGTATGTTGTTTGTCATCTGTTGGTAAGGAACATCTTGGAAGGCAATGTTGCAAAATTTGGGGACACAGGTAGATCACTTAAAACCTGTTAGATCACTCACCACCTCAAGAAGATTCCCATGATAGGATGAGATGGTCATGGAATGGGATAGACGGACACTAGTCACCCACCAGCCTTAAGAAAACCTCTAATGTTCATAGCAGCAATGGCCACAGTTGCCAAACTGTGGAGAGAACCAAGATGCCCTTCAATGGATGAATGGATAAAGAAGATATGGTCCATATATACAATGGAGTATCATGCCTCCAACAGAAAGGATGAATACCCAACTTTTGTATCAACATGGACAGTACTGGAAGAGATTATGCTGAGTGAATAAGTCAAGCAGAGAAAGACAATTTTTTTATGGTTTCACTTACTTGTGGAGTATAAGGAATAACATGGAGGACATTGGAAGATGGAGAGGAGAAGTGAGTTGGGGGAAATCAGAGGGGGAGACAAACCATGAGAGACTGTGGTCTCTGAGAGATAAACTGAGGGTTTTGGAGGAGGGAGGTGGGGAATGGGGTGAGCGTGGTTGTAGGTATTGGGGAGGGCATGTATTGCATGGAGCACTAGGAGTGGTGCACAAACAATGAATTTTGGAACACTGAAAAAAAGTAATAAAATTCAAAAAAGAAAACCTCCATTCAGTAAGGTATATTCTATACAGCCCACAGTCCCCAACCCCTTGGCACATTCTTCCTTGGTGTTATTTTGGCTCCAAGACACCAAAGGTTTAGAGAAACCTGGTAGATGTTTCCTTTGGTTTTCTTCTACGTACTAAGAGATTGGCTTTATGACCTGTGAGGATATCTCTTTGGTCTCCACCATTCAGAGGATGCACTCACTGGGGTACACTTTGGAGGCCAGCGCAACACTCTGGGCATCCAAGTCTCTGTCTCTCTGTCAGGTTGTGCCAGTTTTCAAGGTGTTTGTCATGAGAGGTTCCAGAACCATGAGAACCTTTGTGGTCTCGACCCTCATTGCTTATTGGTGCTGGAGAGTCTCATTCCAGAAGCACGTAGGGG